TGTTTTGGGCTCATCATATTCCCTACAAATATCAAACACCTCAGGGTACTATTAAATAATTCTGAATGACTTGGAAAAGTTCATGATAGTTCAGATCTGAGACAGTACTGCAAAGAGGAAAAAATCTGCTAAGCATTTCATAAGGAAAATTATATTCTGGGGGTCCAAACACATTTAGCCAGATGTTTCTTCCCCTTTAAACTACATTTACTTTTTTTTTTTAAATCAAATACTAGCTGCTTTTTGATAGGGAATTGCAATCAACAAACAAAAACGAAGAAAAAGAAAGGTTTACAAAATTTAAGAAATGTATGTTGAAATAAAGGCTTACCCAATATTAGGAGATAAACACTTGATGGCAAAACACCAAATTTGAAAAGTTAACCGAAAGCCCCCATGAAAATTTTGTGTTCACTGTATTATTTTGTGAAATGTTTTTTGCATATAGATGGTTCTGCAAGTGTTTAGTCACAAAGTAGTCAATTAGTAGACCCTGTAACCTCATCTGATTTCACTTCTCCTTGAGTTTGTGTGGTAAAAAACATTTTTTTTTACAAATGCTGTCAATGCTGTTGTTATTTTTGTTATAGGCATTATAACTATCATAGTGTTATTAACAATAGTAACAGCAGTATTAGATAACAGAATTTATTTCCAAATCAAGGAAAAGGGTAAACAGGTGAGTCAGATGTGTAAAAAATAATAAATCAAACTTACAGTGGGCATGATATAAACACAGCAGCTTTGGGTTATTAACATTATTCTGGATATATTATCAACCTACCTCTGGGAGCATGTTTAGTATCAGCTGGAATATACTTAGAGAGTCGCACTGACGGCAACGGCAGGAAACCACCAGTTAAGGGCATGACGTCCAAGGTGACACTTTGCCTCAGGCCACCTTCCAATGTCAGCACACCTGTGGACATTCACCCAGTGATGACTTGGATTCCATCTGGATTTGGTCTCTCAAGAAATATATTACAATATATATATATATATATATATATATATATATATATATATATATATATATATATATATATATATATATATACACACACACAGACATACATATGTGTGTGTGTGTGTGTGTGTGTGTGTGTGTGTGTGTGTGTGTGTGTGTGTGTGTGTGTGTGTGTGTGTGTGTGTGTGTGTGTGTGTGTGAGTGTGTGTGAGTGTGTGAGTGTGTGTGAGTGTGTGTGTGTGTGTGTGTGTGTGTGTGTGTGTGTGTGTGTGTGTGTGTGTGTGTGTGTGTGTGTGTGTGTGTGTGTGTGTGTGTGTACGTGTACGTGTGTACGTGTACGTGTGTGTGTGTGTGTGTGTGTGTGTGTGTGTGTGTGTGTGTGTGTGTGTGTGTGTGTGTGTGTGTGTGTGTGTGTGTGTGTATAATTTATATATATATACATATATACTTATGTATACGTATACATATACATATATACATATATACATACATAATATAATATACATACATAATTATACATTGGCAAGAATAACACATAACTTGCAACTCACCTGCAGTTCTGCCACACACAGCCCACATGGTCTGGTCAGCAAGAACCTCATACATGATGGAATGTGCTGTTGGATGTTGTGTGGCCAAGTCCCCTGCATCTTCTGGTGAGGCACAGGCTGGGGAGGCCACCTGCTGCAGCGCAATATGCAGGTGGCACATGTTGCCTGCACGACACAATTCTGATCCCTTGCTAGGTTCCACCCGTGCACGAATGGTATACAAAGTCTAGGAACAGAACAATGGAAAAATACATTATGTACATTGTGTGGGTGGATGAATTTTCTATTTCAAAGGTACAATTCTGATTCATAAACAAGTAGAGACCAATACTGCCTGAATTCTATGGCATAATTCAATTGGAGCCTATATTATTTAGTGGTTGTTCTCCTCTTGTAATCAATCATCAAATCCCTCTCCAATCCTTGCCATTCCTCCTTTCATTATCTTCACTACTTCAACAAAATGTTTGGATCAATATTTCCCTCATCCCCAAATTGCACTAAGTGACCATTCACTTATCTCTATTTTCTTTGAAGAATACTTATGAACCAGCACATGCGTTCAGCCCAAGAATCCTTCCTTGCCTCACCTTGTAATCAACCAGGTCAAAGGGGCATGAATAGCACCGGACTTCCTCCTGCAGTGGCTGCCCCTGGTCATCCAGAGGCCGGTAATTTGTCTTGAACTCCAGCTTGAGAGAGGGAGTCCCTTCCTGCTCATAGTCAACTTCCACACTCCACATGTAGCTTGCAGACTGCTCTGTGCACACAACCTGGAATACAATTATTTATTTTAGGTGGAAACTTAAGGCATGATATCACACACTAAGCACCCAATCAAGTAAAAACATGTCAGCCATAATTTCCAGACATGATAAGAAGTAAAACTGATTAATCAAAGTTTAAATTTTGTAAGATCAAAACACTGTGCATATGAAAATTTACAAAAAAGAAAATCCTACATCAAGAGAAAAAAAAAACAGAACAGAAAATAATAACCAAGAGTAAGGAATAGAATGATGTTCCTTTATACTTCCAATTAAAATATTTACCAAGGACTGAGAAGCAGGGTGCAGGGGCTTCAGCTCAACATGGTTTACAGGCTCTACCAGCATTAGGCTTGGGTCAGATAGCTCCACTCCTCGGCCTACTAGTCCTGTCACTGTCACCTGTCAGAGGGTACAAAGGATGCCAAAGGAATTACATCTTTATTCATGACATAGAAAGTCCTACTTTTGGGTGAGTGACTGTAACATCTTATGCACTAAAGTTAATCCTGGACCATTATCAATTCCTAGGATTCAGAGCAAAACATATGACAGGTATAATGAGAATTGAAATTTTACATTATGTTTCAAGCTTCTGTGGATTAATTTTAATAAGAAATCCTATCATCCATGCACACAATATCTTACAAGTTTTCAATCTAAATAAATTATTATCCTAAGGCCTGGCACTAAAAACACATTTACACATACATGCACACAGTACACACACAAGCAGATACAACAGCTGCTTGGTCAAACCTGGACAAACTTCGATGTGTTGGCCGTGTGCAACTTGTGCGAAGACATGAAGGGTGGGATGAAGTGCACATCAATGTCAAGCCTCTGTTCAATTAGGGAACTGCTGATATTCACCTGTTGAATGACATGGGGAAATAATCTTGTTGTTCAACTGTTGAATACAATAAATATCCTAATGATTTTAGCACACTAATTCTACAACTTATGGTGAGAGAGATATTTCAAAGTTGCACCTATTTTGTATTAGTAACTTCAAATACAACAATACTTCTGCATATCATCAAAACTCTAAGTCATCCCAATATTGAATAACAATTAAGAAAAGCATAGAACGAAGGCCAAATTTACAAAGTGAAAATGATCATGGAGCAAATAAGCCATCCAGTAAGAAGCACAGATGGTCATTACCAACTAACCGTGTGTTCTACAGTTGCAGCATCTCTCTGGGGCCCAAGCACAGCCAGGACGACAAGAGGGACAGCCACTGAGGAGAAGGGAGTGACCTCCGGCAGCAAGATTTCTATCTCTCTCTCAAGCTGGCCCTCCTTGTGCCCTTCATTATCCTGCTTCACCAGAAGGCCTCGTGATGTGCGTAATTTGACAGCCGTACCCTGTTTAGAGAAAATTATTCAAATATTAAAGAGAATACTCTAATCACATAGAAGGAAGAGATATGATGAAAAAGATTTTTAACTTATTAACCCAATGCCTCCGGGAGAATTTAGGGCTCACTTAGCCTCCACTCCAGGAAGAATGAATAGCCGATGGCTTTCCTCCTGGGCCTGTTTCACATGCAGCTGGTGCATCACACTCACCATGCTACATTAGCAGTTTTATGATTTCTGCTTGCATCACTTGTATGCAAAACATAATTTTAATTGTTTGTATACTCAGACATGCTAGATTGAACCTGTAGTAACCTGACTATGTCCATTTCAATAACGTAGGTGTGTTACACAGATGAAATGTAGTTTTCTTAAGGGATAAAACAAACAAAAAATTCTCACATTTTTGCAAATCTTATTCTAACAAAATAAGAGATTGTATGTAGTTGTATACAAAGCTGCTACTCCCATGGCTTCAGTACTTTCCTTTTTATGTCATACTTCAAGAAAGGCAGACTGGCAGAATCCCATACGACAATCTGAATGGTTGACTGATCTTGTAAACTAGAGTGAAGGTTACTTGCAGGTTCCCAGCAGCAGTAAGAAAGTGCAGTTTTTTAGTTTGGCATCTTCCAGGCCTAGCAGGCAAAAGATTTATATGCTAAAGACCATCCTTTATACAAAACAATAAAGCATCCCACTCTTCCTCAAAAATGAAAATCAGAAAATGTAATGCATGCATCACAGGTGCATGACCTGAATGAACCATCGTCTGGAGCCTTGCCCAAATAAGAACTGACGTGAGTGACCCATGACCCAGAGCCACAACTAGGTAAGCTATGATGAGAACCCCATGTTATTTGGATGCTGTGGGTTAATCCATATTCCTTGACAGCATAATTAACAAATAAAATGTGAAATAACATGAAGATACTAGTGCAAACTTGACTTTGCTCTGTATCAATAATTAAATTCAATGTCAGTTAGATAAGTTTATTAACACTTGAGGAATTGAAGGGTCCATACCTTTTTATACAACATTGTAAAATTGTCCATTTTTATCCACTAGTTTCTATATCAGTCTACAATCATTTCTAGTAAAACGTAATAAAAAAAATAAAAAATTGACAATGGTCAAACGACTGAGACTATCTCCATCTAACATTGCACTTAACACATACCTGCTTGATGTGCCAGCTTCCACTGTGCACTGTGAGGACCATTGGCTGATGCAGTCCTGCCAGAAGGTCACGGTCCCTGCGACCCAGGAAGATACGAGGATTCTCACTTACAACCTCCAGACTCAGTGGAGGGCCTGCTATGTGATTCTTGCCACAAATAAATTCAAGCTTTTCTAATGCTAAAACCACTTGACTGGCTGTGTAGCAACCTTTACTGGTCACTTTAGTGGACAATGTGATAGTATTTTTCCCAGGGGCAATAACTACCTCTTTTGCCACAAGCTTGTCTTTGTGTTGTTCCTTGGCAACATTACGGTCCACCTTATACATTCCACCTTGACTGTCTCTTCTTCTGAGTACTTTATGAGAATTAACACAAGTTATGGAGGCAGATGAAAGAGACTTGTCCTGCTTGTACTCCAGATGGAGACTCATATGGAGAGGTTGTGTGAGTGGATTCAGCCTAGCCATTTCCGTCTCTGCTGCTGCTGCCTCATTTGCCAGACTCTTTCGCTCCACTTCAGCTGAGTTTGAGCTGCTCCTGTGCACCATGGAGGAGGACTGTGATTTGCGCGTGCTGGGCTGTGATGCTGAGCTCGATGAACTTGATTTCCTTTCTAATTCAGGAATGGTCTTGAGTGTACCTATTTCTTCTTTAACATGCTGTAACACAACATATACTTGGTTGCACATGACAGTATTTGGAAGCTTACTTATGATGGAAAGCTCTACCAGAACATCTGACTCTAGTATGATGCGGTCCTCTGACACCAGTCGAAGGCCCTCCACCTCAAATATTCTGTCACAGGGTATCAGGAGAGATGATCCTTCTTCAACATCCTTTAAGGCAGTCTTCATCTTCTCAAAATGTTCCTCCCTCATTTCCTGTCCCAAGTGGGTGGAACCAGCTAATTGTGCACAAGTTTTAACATACTTCTCCAGGTCATTGGTGGAAAGGTAACATTGTGACAAGTGGAGTTGTGTGTGAGCAGCCAAAAGCAACCATCTCTCCTCTAAAAACATGGTAAGTTGGTCTGTTAAGAAAGTAGCAGCTTTCTGTGCCTCTCCCTGTGCCATGTAGAATGTGGCCAACTCTTTGCCAATGAGCCTTGCTGACCTGATTCGACCAATGTGCTTGTAGGTGCTGATGGCCACCTCAGACAAGTCAAGGTAATGCTTTTTGTATGCCTGTGGTGAAGAGAGAGCATCTTTCAGCCTCGTCATAGGTGTGTCATGAACTGGTGCATCATCCTGGTGATAATCATGTGCATGAGGGTCATTGCCCATCCCACACACCAGTGAGATCACAGTGTGTAGCTGGGAGCTGCTGGTCTCACATCCTGGCATCAACCCACACAGGCTCCCTAACTCTTGTAACTTATCTCTGGCATAGGCCCATAGTGGGGCTGTGTGGTGAGCATGTGCATCTGTCGTAGACGGCTCCTTGAAGGTTTGTAGAGAATCTATGACTTCCAAACAGGAGAGGACACCCCAGCAGGCAATGCCTCCAGGAGCAACTGTAACTTCCAGGATGCTGAGTTCTCCCAGAGTGTTCTGGAGGAAGGTCAGAGCTCGGCTGGCTACCTCCCAAGGCTTGTTCTGGAGGAAGAGCAGAGCACACTGACGTTGGAAGAGGTAGTTGCGAAACTCTAGGAGGGTAACATCCTTGGATCGAATCTTCCCCTGAATGACAGCATCTAGATCTGGGGTGAGGTGCAAACCCTCCCATTTCTCACATGCTTGGCTGAAGTTGCTTAACCATTGTGGAGTATCCCCTGCAGCAGAATTCAGCACAAACTGTGTAAAGAGAGCATCTAACTCATCATACTGCACTAAGGCTTCATCATGTAATGCAAGCAATTGGAAAACTTGTGCTAATTCTTCTTGCAAAAGAAAATATGAGCAGAACGACCAAGATTTTTCTGTGCGTCGTTCACGTTCTGCTCTCATGTTCTCTTCAAATTTGTTGAGAGCCCTATTGTATGCCACCATCAGCAAATGCCTCATCTTTGTGAGCAGAGTCTGCCACGATTCCACAGATCTTGAATCCGTCTTCAAAGGGTCAATCAAAGACACACATCTTTCAGCCTGTTTTCCACCAAAGTCATTTTTAATTTTGTCCAAGACTGTGGTTCGTGGGATCAACTTATTTCCTTTGCGTGTGTCTGGCGTTTCCAGCAACACTACCATCCAGTCTGTGATCCCTTGCTGCCTCAGTGATGTTACCCATGCCTGCAGGCTGTCCCTCGTGCTGCTCTTGTAGGCCTCGACATCAGCACAATCTGTCCAGTAGGTGTGGAAGATGGGTTGGCCAAGGATTGTCCGTGTGACATCCTTCACAAGGCATTCCTCAGCAAAGGGAACAAAGTCCACTTCCACATGGACACACCGGGAAGGACGCCCATAGGAGCGTCGCCACTCCACACTCTCCTGAGGCAGTGCAGTAACCAGGCCAGCCTGAAGGCCAGTGAAAAGTGCATTGTCTCCTGCATCTAGAACAAGAGATAAAATATAATTACTATGAGGATGAGGAGGACCAAGAGAATGAAGACTACAAGGAGGAAGAGAACTAAAATTAGGAGAATGACTAAGAGAAAGAGGATGGCTAGGAGGATGAGGATGAGGAGGAGGAGGAAGAAGAGGAGAAGGAGGAGGAGGAGGAGGAGGAGGAGGAGGAAGAAGAGGAGAAGGAGGAGGAGGAGGAGGAGGAGGAGGAGGAGGAGGAGGAGGAGGAAGAAGAGGAGAAGGAGGAGGAGGAGGAGGAGGAGGAGGAGGAGGAGGAGGAGGAAGAAGAGGAGAAGGAGGAGGAGGAGGAGGAGGAGGAGGAGGAGGAGGAGGAGGAGGAGGAGGAGGAGGAGGAGGAGGAGGAGGAGGAGGAGGAGGAAGAAGAGGAGGAGGAGGAGGAAGAAGAGGAGAAGGAGGAGGAGGAGGAGGAGGAGGAGGAGGAGGAGGAGGAGGAGGAGGAGGAGGAGGAGGAGGAGGAGGAAGAAGAAGAAGAGGAGAGGAGGAGAGGAGAGGAGGAAGAGGAAGAGGAGGAGGGAGGAGAGGAGGAGGAGGAACCAGAGGAGGAGGAGCTGGAGGAGGAGGAAGAGGAATAAAAGGAGGAGGACTAAGAAAAAGTGGAGGAGGAGGAGGAGGAGGAGGAGGAGGAGGAGGAAGGAGGAGGAGGAGGAGGAGGAGGGAGGAGGAGGAGGAGAGGAGGAGGAGGAGGGAGGAGGAGGAGAGAGGAGGAGGAGGAGGAGGAGGAGGAGGAAGAAGAAGAAGGAGGAGGAAGAGGAGGAGGAGGAGGTGGAAGAGGAGGAGGGGGAGATGGAAGAGGAGGAGGAGGAGGAGATGGAAGAGGAGGAGGAGGAGGAGGAGGAGGAAGAAGAGGAGGAGGAGGGAGGAGGAGGAGGAGGAGAAGAGGAGGAGGAGGCGGAGGAGGAAGAGGTGGAAGAAAAGGAGGAGGAGGAGGAGGTGGAAGAAAAAGAGGAGGAGGTGGAGGAGGAGGAGGAGGAGGTGGAAGAAAAGGAGGAGGAGGAGGAGGAGGAGGAGGAGGAGGAGGAGGAGGAGGAGGAGGAGGAGGAGGAGGAGGAGGAGGAGGAGGAGGAGGCACAGCTGCATAGCTGGTGAAGAGTGTTCTTTCCCATTTATACAGTTCTACACAAAATATTATAGGAACAGACTTTTTAAGTATACTAGAGAGTACCAGAGAGTACTAGGCAAATTATTGTGCATATGCAACAAAGCATGATTAACTCTAGAAGAGATCTTAGCACCAATAGCTGAGAGTGGAATTAGGTAGTTCTATATGCCATGAAAATGTGTAGCAAAAATGAAAACATCTTTACACAAATATAAAGAACAAAATATCTGATACAACTCTCATTCTACTATGGAAAAAGGAGATTGTTGCTCCCTGAACCTCAAACTAACAGAGCTACCAATGATAGGGTCAATGGGTTGGCAATAAGACTTCTTTTAACTTGTCCTATGATACATCTACAAAAATCAAGTTCATGTACAGAGGCTATGTCACTTACATTGTAATACCAACAAAATTTTGTGTCAAATGGGAAATAGTATCCTGTACGTAATATCACATATACAACAGACAACAGGGGGGGGAGAGTCTCAGATCCTTCTTCTCACATGATAGCATGTTATACTCTGTTTCATTAACATAACATGTAACATCTTAGTGGGTTAATGCAATCATCAATATGAAACCAAGCCACACAGAATGAACTGTCTAAACATGAATGACACACTACACAGTACCTTCACATAGCAGGAGGGACCAACAGTTTGTGAACATTATGGGGACTATATTGCCTACTAAGTTGAACACTGATATAACTGGCAAATAACTTTGTGTTAATGTTACCAAAAGTGTCACATAGATATTGAGGGAACTGGACACTGCCATCTTATGGAGCTTAAAAAGAGAGAATAATAAACAACACAGCGGCTACATATTTACCAGGATATGACGAAAATATCCACTGCATATCACTATTCAGAGACAAAGTCCACAACACCCTCACACAGCCAGAGTTCTTAATGTTGTGTTTTCTTTCAGTAGGAACAAAATACTAATAAAGGAAGGGTGGGGGGAGGTAAATGGGGGCTTGCCCCATCTAGGGCATGAGTAGAATGTAGGAAAGATTAGGTTGAGAATTTGGGTTTGCATGATACCCTGGTTTTGGGACTTCATATCTAGAGGGTGTGTCACTCTCTGTGTTTGATTATCTATGTGTACAGATGTCCAATAAAAGAAAATAACTTACTCCTGAATACACAACTTTCTAAATCTAAGATCTTTTCGTGAGCAATCAAGTCTCCTTATATGTGAGGATATGTAAAAAATTATTATCATACGGATGAAAATGTGGAAAAAAATAAAACCTACATTACTGTAACCCTAAAAATAATCTATCTACATGACAAAGATGTAAACCAAATACAGCATAGAGCATACAGGTCACGATAGGTCTGCGCTTCATCTTTGCTCTTCCTCCTCTCGAGGCCTGAAAGATCGCTCTTCCGTCCGATCCTTCAGAGTCAGTCTACGGCCTTCCGTCAAAGGTGGCACTACTCATGGCCTGAAGGAGTGTCAGCAGAGCCCACAGTGCCAGTCAGCTGATTCCTCCGTCGCCCGTCTTGACACACGAATGTAAACATACGCCCTCCGTCGCGAGCTTCGACGGCTTCTGATTGGTCACCGCGGGAGGGACAGAGAGCCTTCTGATTGGCTGGCCCGGCACGGTTCTACCGGGGATTTATGAATGAAGTCTTTTGGAATGATTATTAGAATTATTAGTAATAATGTAAATAGTAGAATGGTAGTAGTGATAAGGACAATGTGTAATTATCAATTCAGCCATCATAAGAGTACTTGCTATTAACATGGCAAACACACACACACACATAAGGGAAGAATGTCATGAGGAGGGAAGAGGGAATGGTGATACACATGGGGGAGGAGAGGATGGGGTGTTTTTGGGCGAGTGGGAGGAAGAGGGGGAGGGGGAACTTGAGGAGGAGAAGGACGGATATCAGTATATAGTTTGAATGTAGAGCGAATAGGAATAGAGAATGGATGAGGGACTGGAGCTTTCTCTCGGGTCGTGTTTAGGAAGTTTTGGATGTCTTCAAGAGTTCTGGAGGGGAGGTTTTCTTATGTGGAGAAGAGGGAATAGATGTCCGAAAAGCAGAGGGAGAGGTGGGTGTAGGAGAGGCCGTGGTAGAAGATGGAGTGGGACGTTTAGATTATCTGGTGCGACAAGTAGAGTGAGAAAGAGGGGTAGACATAAGAGAAGTGGTAGAGATTGGAGTATCTGGATTTAGACTAGAAGAGGAATTTGACTGGAGGGGAAAGGGAGTACAGATAGGATGGTTCAGTGAAGAGGAAAGAGATACTGGGCGGAAATGCTGAGACTTTCTGAAAAGGTGGGAGGGGAGCGGAACGAAGTACAGTTTGTTGTCTGGCCTCACGTAGAGTGAGGACTAGTTTGAATCTGAGAACTACTACCTCATATTCGAGCTTGTAGGCAAGGCAACTCCTATAAAATACATTGTAGGAGCCACCACAATTGACATACAAGCGTGACTGAATAGAGCAATTTGAACGTGGGCACAGAGGGCAGTGGGCTGTGGAGCGACAGTGCTTGGCTGGGTGGCCCAAATGCCAACATTTCTGACATTGACGGGGAAGAGGTCGATATGGTCGGCCAGGGAAGGACACTCCACCAATATGAACTTCATAGGAAGGTCATGTCTACGGAAGCTAATCTTGGCAATATTGGTGAGGACTTAAGTTGGCTTCTAGGAGGAATAGTGTAGCACTGGACTGCCCCTGCATCATAGTCAACAAGGCATGTAAGTCGCTTTTACAGTCTGACCGGTCCTTGTTGTAGATATGGCAATGAGTCGGGGAGACGGAAACAGTTCCTGTACAAGTGTTAAGGGAGGAGTGAGGCTTTGGAGGAATCGGTTTGCCAGTGAGGTCAGTCAGGGTAGACAGTGCACGAGCTTGGGATTCATATGTAACTGCGAACGATCGGAACGACTGCGAAAGGAAACTTTGCCTATTTGTTTTTGGAGACATTGCTGGAAGAGATGGGTATTGCCAGAGTAAGGGACTGTAGGAGAATCACAGAGAATGGATCCCACTTGGCTGGGCACTCCAACAAGGATACTCAAAAGGTTTGCAGAGGTGGGAGCAGTAGGACGAGGGCGGGAGGAAGATGGGGTGGTATGGAGAGAATTAGCACTGTTGGGAGGAGGGCAATAAGGATGCAAAGTAGTAATAAGGGAGGAGGGGGTAGATAATGATGGAGACTGTGCAGCAGGAGATGGGGTGGAGGATGTTGGGAGAGAGGAAGGGGTGTTTCCTGAAGGTGTATTTTGGATGTATGATTCAGAATGGATAGTCGACAGCAAACATGGAGAAGGGGGTATTAATATCGGTGGTCGGAGACGTGGTCAAAGGAGAGGCAGGGGTCGGGAAACCTATGAAATCAAATTTAGATAGGCTTGTTGATGGAAGGGCAAACCTTAATATCCCTAATAAGAGTAAAAAGCTTCCTTTTTGGGCATGGTGAACCTGAAATAAATGGGGAAAGGAAAAAGTCCACCCCTCAGGGTCCCCAAGAGGGGTAAGGGCTAGGCGATTACCCAAAGGAATACCGTGCCCATGGATCGTGGAGGCCGTTCATGGCTGTCATAAAGATTGCTTTCTTTCCATTCAGCACGGCTCTCACACCTTAGGAAGTGGACAGAAGAATACTTATCCGGACATGTCTTATTTTTCAAAATAATGTATCCTGTGCAGCATGCGAAATGATCAATGGCAGAATGTTCCACAAGTTAGGCCTATATATAAATATTTCATTTTAAGTTTAATGTAGTTGCCTGTGGAATTCAGTGCGCAATGCACAAGAAATATATGCAACTGTTAGATCATTGTGTGATCTTCATTGGTATCAGTCATTTTCGCATGTAACTTGTTACATGCGAAAGAGAAGGGGTAAATTCTGGCCTGGTCCATTTCATATCTTGGGGTTTAAACTGGCCTACCTTAACCTATACCCCGGTTATAAAACAGCCGAGCCTAAAATAACGGTGTATATTCTGAGCTGTTGCACACTCGTGATTACAACTATGCAGAAAGAGCAAAATAAGATGTTGAAGATGAAGGTTTCTTCACAGTCGCACACAGGGAAAAAAGAGGAATGACAAGCGCCACGCCCATAATTGGGGCTGATCGACCAAATGCGGCCCATCTCTATAGGTGCCATCCACACAGATGAACAGGATAACGAAGAACACCTTTCGGACGGTTCTGAAATGTATCAAGTGTAAAAGCTCATAAAACAAAAGACTCATGATTATTATTCTAGATTTAAGTTAGCTGTAAGAGGCCGAGAAATAAAGCCTGAACTATTCTTAGACTTAGATGCCTTTCCAGTTAATGTCTATGTTTGTAAACAGAAACAAGTACAACCGTGATCAGAGGGTTGACAAGGCACCGCCGTCAGCAAGACCGAAGGTTAGCTCACAAATGCGAAAAATAGAACAAATTGGCGCACAGTCTCTCCTTGGATATTTGGTGAAATTGAAGTAGTCATAATGGAGAGAAAAAAATGAAGCTTCAAGTACAGTTTAATCGCGGCTTCGCCTAAATATGTGAAGTATTTTTATCAATATTCCTGATTTGTAGATGCAATGCAGAACGCGGGGGAACCCGCTACAACTCTTTAGAGTGCAGATGTAGAGTATGTCACTGTAAAAGACACTGCTTTTCATCTTAGGTGATCTAAATGATGATTTAAACAACCCAAATGCAAGTTAACTAACATCTTCAGGAAAAATAAATTTGAGCAAATGGTCAGTAAACCAACAAAGGTTACAGAAAACATTTCGATATTAATTGATAAAATAATAAGCAGAGTAGACATATTTCTCCATGCCAAGTTACTGGTCGTAACGATAAAGAAATAAAAGCGACAACCACTTATAATAAGTTTTCGTGACTCAACTTACTTTGACCCTCTGTCGCTATGTCAACAAATAATAGCCAAAGAATCTACTCTTCTAGAAATTTTGAAAACAGATTATGCAGAAAAGTGGATAAATGTCTACATGTTAAATGATTCAAGATTGTGAAAAAACGCTGAAGTTATTTAAGACACTAGTGCCAAACAAAAAACATCAGATATTAGATTAAATTCCAGACTCACATGTGGATAAACAACAGGTCCCACATCTCAATATATGGACAAATAACAGCTCTTACATCTCAGCAAAATACAGGTAGAGGCTCCCAACCAATATTTTCAGACCACAATCAATAAGAATAGAAATAGAAGTCCTTACTGTAAAACAATTGTGTGAAACTAATTTTTTGGGACCATTGTTTTCTGCTTTATAAGAAACTGCCTACCCGCAGTGGCGGAATATTTAGCTGTTATTAACACATTTCTAGCCAGCAGTGACTTTCCCATCGCTGTTATAATACCAGTGTTCAATTCCGGATACACATGCAAATTTATTTATTGAATTTTGATGTGCCGCGTCAACATCTAAGGTCATTAGATGCGTATTCAAAATATTACATGGTGGCGAAAAGGGGTAAAAATGACAACGTCTAGGTTATTTGCTACGAACCCAGAGACAAAGTCCCAAAACCAGGGTATCCTGCAAACCCAAAATTCAAACCTATCCTTTCCTATCTCCTATTTATTCCCTAAACAGGGGGTGAGCCCCCTTTATTAGTACTTCGTGCCAACTTAAAGAAAACAGACGTTAAAAATTATCTGTGTGAGGGTGTCGCGGACTTAGTCTCTGAGCGGGGATATGCAGCGGATATTTTCGTCATTTCGCGGTAAATATAGGCCGCAGCAGCTGTACCTGTGTTGTTTACGACTACAAGATGTCGGTGTCCATTTCTATCTCCGTGCGTCGCTCTCGGTAACATTAACCACGGTTAGGATAAGTGGCCAGAGACAGGGGATGAAGAGAGGGAAAAGGAAAGGGATAGAAGAAAGGGCCAAGCAAAATTAGTTGAGGCGAGGGCTGGAGCCCAAGGCAGGGGTGATGCCCTACATTGGGCCTCAGTCACTAACGACAATGATACACACAAACACACACACACATATATGCATATATATATGTGTGCATAAATGTGTGTGTGTGTGTGATATATATATATGTATATATAAATACATCTGTATATATATGTATATGTAATATAAATATGTGTATATATATCAATATATGTGTGTGTGTGTGTGTGTTTAGAGAGAGAGAGGTAGAGGTAGATAGATAGATAGATATAAAGATAGATATATGATATATGTATATATATATGTATAATATATATAATACATATATATATACATATTTATATATATATATATATACTATATATATATATATATATACTATATATATATATATATATATATATATATATATATATATATATATATATATATATATATGTATATATACCCATCTCTCCCCCCCCCCCTCTCTCTCTCTCTCTCATTCTCACTCTCTCTCTCTCTCTCTCTCTCTCTCTCTCTCTCTCTATATATATATATATATATATATATATATATATATATATATATATATATATATATATATATATATAAATATATATATATATGCATTTATATGTAT